GCCCAGCGAGCTGGCTCCTCTGCACGCTCTTCACCACCCAGCTCTCTGAACGGCTCCTGGCTCCTCCTTGTGGAGCTTAATCCTCAGCCTCCCGGAAGCAGTGAGCGCCTCAGTCAGGGCTCAGGTCTGGGGGCTGGCGGGTGGTCTAGCCTCGCTAACTGGGTGGAACAGCTGAGGTCACACTGGCCTTGGCCCACCGCAGGGAAGGGGCCAAGCCCAGCAGTGCGATCCGGTGTCCTGGAAGGAAGAGGGGGCGTGGCGCTGTTCCCATGGGGACACGAAGGCGGCCTAAAGCACAGGCAGAGGACAGCCTGGGACACACCTGGGTCAGCCCCGCCCCGCCCCGCCCTGGGGAGCGCAGCACACACAGCCCCCCACCCCCCACCGCCCGCCAGCGCCAGCTCCCCAGCTGCTGTGGCCTTACCTCTGCCATCGCCACCTCAGGGCCTCCTCCCACCTCCACATCGAGTCCCTGCCCCCTCCCTAGCAGTGCTGCAACTGCCACGCAAGATGCCAATTTCTTGCAGGGTCCACCCTAACCCTTTCCCAACCCGTTCCTGCCACGACACACACAGGAGCGCAAGTCGCCTGCTCAGAAGCACCCTCTGCCCTTGGAGGGAGTGTGGCCTCAGGCCTCCTGCCTGCCTCCCACCAAACCGCCTTCCATTCTTCAATTCCATGCTGGCCTGACGTCTTCCAAGCGGCTGGGCTGACACTGGCCGATTCTGGGACCCTGTCTCAGTAGTCATCACGGTAACCTCTCGCCGGGTACCGCCTTCGCTTTGGGAAAGCTGCAACACGGGTTCCTAGAGCCCCCGCGGGACCCGTGTAACGAGCTCCCTCGCACACACGAGCAACCGGAGGCTCAGCGTCGGGAGTCCCGACTCTAACCTGATGAACCTCCCCCCAAAGCCAGACCCCAGCTCCTGCTCCCACGCGCTTTCTGCCGCCGCAGCCCCCGCAGCCCCCAACGAGCCCGGCTGCTGAGGGCTTGTTTTTGTCCAAGTCGCTGTTCTTGGGATCTTTGCACCTTCACGTAGTTACTTATTGTGCTGGGAGCCAAGTGTTTATTTTCTCATGTGATGGGAGCCTGCAGAGATGGGGGACAGGCGCTCAGAACCAGGACAGGGTTCCGCCAAGCAGAGGCACTGAGGCGTAGCCTCCTTCCAGTGCCTGGCAGGCCCCATGGGCGGGCGGAGACAGGCAGGTGAGTCGCAGTGGCAGCTGCGTTCCCTGGGCAGATGCCGGTTGTTTATTCGTGTTGCTCCTGCCCCGCCACAGCCCTCCAGGAGGGATTGCCGTTGGCAACTGGGAAGCGGATGTCAGCGATTGGAGCCAGGGTGCAGCCCACTCCCAAGGGGGCACATAAATAACAGAATTCCGTTTACATTTAAACCATGGCGACCCGACTCCCGGGGACCTGCCGCCCTGAGTCCTCCTTCCCAGAAAAGAGCTCTCGGGAGAGGAAGGCAGGGCAGGCTGCACCTCACGCGCAGACACGCGCACATCTTCACACACGTGCACATCTTCACACACGCGCACATCTTCACACACGCGCACATCTTCACACACGCGCACATCTTCACACACGCGCACATCTTCACACACGCGCACATCTTCACACACGCGCACATCTTCACACACGCGCACATCTTCACACACGCGCACATCACATCTTCAACGCGCACATCTTCACACACACGCGCGCGCACATCTTCACACACACACACACACGCACATCTTCACACACACGTGTACATCTTCACACACGCACACGCACACGCAAACACATAGGACACAGGGCTCACCACCCCACCCCAGATTTGCTGGCCAGAGTGAGGCCACGAGGGGCAGAGGTCAGTTTCCCCAGAGCCCCTTCCCTGGTGCTAATAAGTGAATAAATACTAAATAAATACAACAGGGCCACCCTGCCGCCTCCGCCTCCTATGACCAGCAGGGCAGAGGGCAGTTTAGACCGGGACTGTCTCCCAGCCCTTGCACCCAGGTGGCTGCCTCCAGGGCAGGAGCAGGCAGGGCCGGCCTGTGCATCCTTGTTGGGGGGTGCGCCCTCCCCACTGTGTCCAGCACGAGGCTCCTTCGAAGCCCCTTCTCCCAGCTCAGTCTGGCGGCGCCAGGGCGCCGGGACGGTGAGGCTATTTCTTGCCGGTCCAGGGGCGCCTCCGCAGCACCTCCAGGATCTGCGCCTTTCGGTGCAGCCAGTCCGGGGGAGCAGGCTGCGGCGAAGGGGCCGGCAGGGGCACGAAGAAACTGTACCGGACGCGGGCATTCTGGGGGTCACCGGCCACCAGGACCTGCAGCATTAAGGGCTGGGCCAGGGGCCCGTGGCCGGCCAGCGTCTCGGCGGCTGCTGTGGCCCCGCTGTAGCGCAGGCTGACGGCCCCCGGCAGCACGACGTCGGTGGAGGAGGGCGTTAGTGTGTATTCACCATTGAGGGCATAGGAGCCATTGGGGAGTCTCAGGGCCAGGTAGAGGCTCCGCACACCTGGGGGCTCCTGCTGCCGCACCAGGAGGTGGGTGGCCCCCGCTGGTATAGTGACCACACTGTTGTAGCCGTACCTGTGTGGAAGGAGCAAAGGTGAGCTCAGCATCTTCCTGAACCCCTCAGCCTTCTCAGCTTTGTGTGTGTGTGCATCTCTGTGTGCCTGACGTGTATGTGCATGTGTGAGAGCACATGTGTTAACACTTGCATCTATGTGCATATGCACACATGTGTGTACATGCAAGTGTGATGTGTGCCTCTGTATGAGTGTTCATGTGTGCATGTGCATGTGTTGAGTGTGGGTGTACATGAGTGTGTGTGTGTGTGTGTGTGTGTGTGTGTAGAGGGCTGTCTTCTTAGGCATATGGGCAGTATCCAGCCTGGATCCCAGTACCTGCCAACGTGCCTCCACCCTCTGACCTCTGGACTGTCTACCGACTGTCCCCTCGCTGAGGGGCCCTTCGAAGCCTGACCTCCTTGGTGCCTGTTCAGTTCCTACTGTCCCCCCAGGAGGGAGGCCGCCTCCTGGGGAGCCTGTTGAGCAGGCGGGACACTGCTACCTGCTTGCTCATCCATCTCCCTCACTAGACTCTCAGAGGAGAGACAGTGCTGAGCTCCCCTCTTACCCCCAGGCCCTGAGGAGTGTCCAGGAAGGTGGAAGGAGGAAATAAATAGTGGATGAACCTGAACTTCCTGAAGGAGCCAGACTGCTTGCTGCAGCCAGAACCGTCCCCGCCGCACACCATGCATTTGTCAAATTTCTTTTTGGAGCCAATGACGCGGTCACAGCCGGCATGGATGCAGCGGCCTTGAACACAGACCGAGGTGCTGTCTGGGGAGCAGGGGGTCCCGTCTACCACCTGAGGAGAAGAAAAGGAGGGATGCAAAGGGTCCTTCCCACATCCAGAGGGGCTGGTAACCAAACGAGACCCACATCCCACGAGAGAGGGGCTGTGGATGGAGGGGGGAGGGGCCCAGAATGACCCCTTCAGAGCACCTCTCTGCATCAGGCTCTGCGCTCAGTGCTTTATAAACACACCTACCTGAGGGTTCTGGAGCTGGAACACTGAGGCTCAAGATTAGGAACTTGCCCAAAGGCTGCGTGCTGGCAGCCGGTGGAGAACCACGATGGGAAATGCAGGACTTAGTCCCAACACCAAGCCCTAAACCTTGAGGGCACCGTCCCAGACAGCCGCTAGAGGGCAGCCAGCCTGTAGGAATTCTCCCGGCGCAGGGCAGAGCGCACTCTGGGGGTCGCTTCCTTCGGCCCTCGGCCTCCAGCCCGCGGCCCTATCACCGAGGAGTGCAGGGCACCACTGTCTCCCGGAGGCCTGGCCGCCCAAGAGCTGACGCAGCACTACTGGGATTTGGCGGAGGAGCCCATGGGAAAGGGTCAGAGCCTTGCCCCAAAGGCCACATACTGGCCTTCTTTCTACCCGGAGCAGGGGAACAGGAGGAGGGGAGGAGCCAAGGGAGAGGGCAGGCTACACTGCGATGGGCCCCTTGTCCAGAGCTGGGGTTTGTTTTCCAAATACCATGAACAGATAGGCCCCAGGGAGCCTGGCTGCTGGCCTGGCCGTGGGACAGCCGCAGGGGGACTGCGCCTTCAGGAGGCAGAGGGAGGTGGGAGTGTGGGCACAGACAGGACCGTGATGGCTCACCCGCGGCTCCAGAACATAGTAGTAGCCCAGGGCCCGCGCCTGGCAGGTGAGCTTGCACTGGTCACGGGCAGCCACACCCGCGTAGCGAGGGACCCAGTCCATGGGCCCTGGGAAGCTCTTGAAGAGGTCGGGGCGGTGGTTGTAGGCAGCACACTGCTCTTCACGGAAGGTCAGTGCTGTCGGGGTGACAGGCACAGTCAGGGCCTTGCCCCTCATCCCCCAGCAGCCGCTGCACCTGGCCCCTCAGCTCCCCCAGCTGGCACCTCTCTGCCCCGGGGAGGGGCGGGCAGGTCCTGAGGGGTAAACACTGCCCTCCCCTGCAGGGACATCAGCACTTCCTTGGTTCCCGAAGCGCTCCCGCCCCCACCTGGCCCTTCGGGGGTCCTCACCTGAGCCCGCGGGGCAGTCCTGGGAGCTGCAGGAGCGGAAGCG